TTTTAATTATTTTTAAATTTGATTTTTTATGTTTAATAGTACTTTTAATGTAGTTTCTAAATATATAAATTTTATATACTAAAAATAAACTTAATATTATGAAAAATTGAAGTAAAAATAGCTTCAGTCAAGCCTCGTTAACCGAACCAGACAAACAAAATGGGACGGAGGGAGTAATTTTTTTATGAAGCTTCCACTGGTCATCTAAAAAATGTGCAGTAATGCACATATAGTTGATTCTCTGGACAGAAGTCCATGTATCAGTTGTTAGACTAACCCTTTGAGTTCCTACTCTAAACAACTTCTTAAGGTTTAGCCTCTCATCAAGAAATATTTGATATATGTCCCTAGAAATGGTCCACCTAGAAGGGATAAGAAACCTAGGACAAGCAACCAGAATAAACCTCTTGAACCCCTGGCCCTCTACAAACCTAAAAGGGAGCTCATCTATGATTATCATCTCACAAAGGGCCCTCCTAATGGCATCTTGATTAAATACACATGTCCCCAAAACACCCCCAGGAGCCTCTGTTCCACCCTCAGAAGTGGACAGAGTGTTGAATGTGAGTAGAGACTGCCTTGTATCCTTTGAATGGGGATTTTTAAGACAACTGGCCATATAATTTTTTAATGATGATGTGCCATGTTTTTTAGTTTCACAGAAATACTCTTTTGCACAGTAAAGACATTTGCCTTTAATCACTTTTTTAGTTTCAGGATCTTTGATCTTTTCAAAGTGTTCCCACACTATGGATCTAGACTCTAATTCCTTCCTCTTCTTTACAGCAGGAACTTTAGGAGTGGCCATAGGCTGTTGAGCACTTGTCTCAATGCCTGGGGTTTGTACTCCTTGTTCATCCACTGTTGAAGATGGAAGAAGTCCAGTTCCACTTCCACTTATATTTTGATTGCTCTCCATCTATAAAGATTTATGGATGAGCAAATAGGATTCAAATTTCACACAAGCACTGAGTAAACACTCAGTACTGAGTACTGACATACATAATTACATATAACACATTAACAAATTCATTCCATAATCAGGAGTCATGAATCATGAACTCATCATTTTATGGAAATGCCCACAAATTAGGGCTTAACAGTAAACACTCAGTACTGAGTACTGACATACATAATTACATATAACACATTAACAAATTCATTCCATAATCAGGAGTCATGATTCATGAATCATGAACTCATCATTTTATGGAAATGCTCACAAATTAGGGCTTAACACTTCCACAGTCAACCATCAACCCATCAACAATTCAAGTATTCAACAACATTCAACAGTATTCATTCCAATTTCCAAATTCCAACAGTCAACTATTAGCATTCAACATGGACATCATAAATTCATAATATCAATTACAATTTCAGTAGGCTTCCACAGTTCCACACTTCCACCACCACCATACATTTTGAAATAACAAATTTAAGGGTCCTTTAACCATAAACTTACAAACACATATAAGAATAAGCACAAATTCATCACGTATGTGGAAAGCCCTAAAAATTAGGGTTCAGTTACAAATTAGGGTGCATGCAACATCATAGAACTAGAACAGAACAGACAAACTCACAAACATGCAACAGGAAAATAAGAAAAAAATGACAGAGTTACATTTTACTTGTTTTCTCAAAGGTTCCCTCTGAGATCTAGGGCTTCAAGGCGTCAAACTTCCACTTCCACTGCCGTGCGGCTTCTTCATTCTTGCCGTCTTTCCAGTTTGCACAGAGCCACAGACACTTTCACAAGATTCCCATCGAACTGTCGAAGACTCGAAGGAGTCGAAGAGGAGTTCAGACTCTCAGACTTCAGATACTCTCAGTTGAGACTCAGAGTTCAGACTTCAGAGAATCAGAGATTCACCGGAGAAGGAGATTATGGAAGAAGATTAGATGAGAAGGACTGAAGATCGGATGGGGATGGCTAGAGTAGACTAAGGAGATTTCGAGAAGAAGCTCTGGAGAGTGGGGAGTGGCCGAGTGGAGAGTCTCAGAGAATGAGAGAATGGAAATGGCAAACCCTAGGTCTACGCAACGTTTTATACTTAGGCCATACTTCGGATCTCGGATTGGTTCGGATGGGATATTTCCTAACCCTACCCGTCCGTCTTTAATAGCCACGTTGCGTGGGGTCGGTTTGGATATCACCCGAACCCGTCGGATTTCATCTCCGTTCGGTGAGCGCTAGTTCGGGTCGGGCGGGTTCTTCGGGTAGTTCGGGTACTGCACAGCCCTAATTTAAGATTCATTTTTAATTTGGATCAGGTCAAAGTGAATTTAAATTATTTGTAGTGTGACGATGAAATTAATATATTGTACTCTCAAAACGAATAATGAGTAAATGATAAATTGATTTTCAAAATAGACACATTAGAGTTGAAAAATGACTTTGAGAATTGAGATAATTGGGAAGTAGTCTTCGTCCCACATTAAAAAATGAAGTGGATTTGCACTAATATGGCAAATTATATCATGCACCACGGTGCATGATCAATCATGCCCCGCGTGTCATTTTATTAAATGAAAAGAAACGGTGTTTGTTTTCCGTCGTTTCGCACCCTTTCGCAAAAAGTAACCCTGTTATTCAGTGTCATTTTGTATACACTGTAGTTTCAGTTCAACACAACTACAGTTTCATTTCGATATAACTATAATTTCATTCGATATTTATAGACTCAAAAATGTGAAAATATTATTTAATTTTATTTTTATACACTATAGTTTCATTAAAACACAACTACATGATCATTTTGATATAATTACAGCTTCATTGTACAATATACATTCAAATATGTGAAATGTTATTCAGTTTCATTTTATATACACTGCAGTTTCATTTCACTATAACTACAATATCATTTTGATATAACTGCAGTGTCGGTTTAAATATATTGTAGTGTCAGTTGGTGTTTAATACACCAAACAAGCGGACTCCGTTAACTATAACGGCGAGCCGTTTCTTTACTTAAAGAAACGGCGCCGTTTTTTACCGCGGTGCACATGCACTACGGTCTATGATATAACGACTGCACTAATATTTATGCAAATAGTAGTCTCAAAGCGGGTTGACCCGCCCCACAGCAGGCTTAATTTTTTTCGGGCGGACCCGCAGACTAGGGATCATGTGGTTCTAACCCACCCCATGTAGGTTGGCGGGACCGCATGCTCTTTTTTTTTTTTTTTTTTTTTTTTTTTCTTTTTTTTCAAGTTCAAGTTAAATACTATCTTGAATTAATATCATTAGAAATGCAAATATCGAGTAACATTGAATTTAGTAACTCAAATTTATCGCAATGTTGAAAAAAAAAGTACTAAAATAATCTATATATTGTATACCTAATTTTGTTATCAATGATGTACTATTAAGTATTAATGTTTAATTTGTCATGATTAATTAATCACGCGTCAGGACTATGTGGTCTAATGGTATCCGAGTTGGACTTCCATTTGGAAGGTTATGAGTTCGAGCTTTAGTGTAGGAGGTTGAGAAAGTATATGAACAGATGAACAGATACTACATTGTAATAGAGTCAGTAGCATTCAAAAAATATATATATATATATATAATTTCACTTTCTCATATAATAATAATAATAATGGAAAAGTGTCAAATAAGACCATAAACATTACATGAAAAGTCAATTACGCCCATAAACTTTTAAAAAGTGCAATTACACCCCTCAATTCACGATTTTAAAGCATCCAACTCCGTTAGCCAATTAGCTCTCCATTAAGTTCCGGTAAATGCTCTTATAGCGCCACATAAACTTTGTTTTGAGTATTGAGCTTGCCACATAAGCATAAATAAAAAAAATGAAATTAAAGATAATAAAAGAAATTTTAAAAGGCACGATTCTGGTAAATGTTCCTGTAGCGCCACATAAATTTTGTTTTGAGTATTTGGCTTGCCACATAAGCATAAATAATGCTCACAGAGTCAACAACATTCCCACTGAGACTCAATCTGATCTCTCACATGGAAGAGATATGTCATCTGAGCACAAGGTGCTTGGCTAAAAAGCACTATTTATTCTAGCCCTAATTCTCAAAATCTTTCATTTATCAAAAGGAAAAAAAAAATCAAGGAAGCATATATATATATATATATATATATATATATATATATATATATATATATATATATATATATATATATATATATATATATATATATATATATATATATATATATATAATCTCACTCAGGTGCGAATGCTTCGCCCAGGCGCGAAATAGGAATGGATTCTGTTCGTCCACGTGTCCAGATATAATGGATGAGAAACACTGATTTTTTTTTAAAATGCGGTGGCATTTTCGTAAATAATTGAACATCGAAGTGCAAGTAAAATGTATTACAAGTGCATGTAAAATGTATTATAGGTGCAAGTAAAAATTTACACTAAGCATCAATACTTTGTTGCACCTATAGTTCTAAGTAGTTGCACTTATAGTTCTAAGTAGATGCACACATAGTTATAAGTAGTTGCACACATAGTTATAAGTAGTTGCACCTAGGTGTATGAATGTTTGCGAGTGGTTTTCAGGGGTATTACTACCCGCTGAACTCAGATCAATGAATGTTAACAAGGCAAAATTACATGCACTTATAGGTGAAAGTAGGTGCACCTATAGTTATAAGTAGTTGCACCTATAGTTATAAATAGTTGCATCTATAGTTATAAGCACACTCAGGTGCATGAATGTTTGCGGAAAGTGAATGCTAACAAGGCAAAATTACATGCACTTATAGGTGAAGGTAGGTGCACTTGTAAGTGATTTTACTTGCACTTCGATGTTCAATTATTTACGAAAATGCCACCACGTTTTTTTTTTAAGTTATTAGATCTGGACACGTGTCGCGCGCTGATTCGTTCGCATATTCCTTGCTGGGCACTTATTCGCACCTGAGTGCATCCCTATATATATATATATATATATCTTACTATATAAAATAGCAACACCCCTAGGGAATCACGTTGGAGCCAAAAAATCCCGCCTACTAAAAACACAGTCGTTTAGAATTTGTATAGAAATAGAGTTCTAAATACACTGTTATACAGTTGCCCTGTGATAGCCGACTTTGGTATCCTAAATCATACATGTTTTCCGATGAGCATTAATTACATAAATTCATTCCAAGAAAACTGTTAGTATTCCAATGTCACGCCCTCACGCCACACATTAAATAGCCAAAGAATCCATGAAACGTTTTACAGAGTCTTATAAAATCCTCTCTAATATCTTCCCAGAACACAAGTCTGACAGCATGAAGAAGCTAACAACTTCCGCAATCATAGGAAGAAAGAGGAAGCCACAACCTACACCAAATCCAGGTATTAGAACTTTCTTCACTGCAGTAAACATCATATTTCATTATCATCATGTGCAAATAACTCAACCAATGTGTTAATGACAAACATATATGCGAAAAAATTAAAAATTGTAGAAGTATTTTGAAAGCAATGTAAATCTTATCATATGATATCACATGAAAAGGCATTCATTGAGTTCTATTACTGTTACTGTTAAAACTGGATTTGGTGGGAAATTAAATTTTATAAGCATCTAAAGCCTCTTCTATAAACTTAGTGTTCTAGATGACTGGTAATTTATATAACAGTGTAAAAATGTGTACTATAACAGACTTACCAAGTGATAGGCATCACGAAACAGCTAATAGCTTACAAATACCAAACGAAAAAATTTATATGTTAGGTTGAAATAGAATAAGCAAATAACAGAGAATGTTATTTTGGACAAAATTACCAGTATTGTCTAACTTAGTTATGAGAGTAAACCTATCAAAACCCCAGATTTCAGACACCTTTCAAGCAATCGATGAATTTGATGAGTCACCGTATCCATGAAAACAAGTATAGTTAGTTTAGGTTTGGCAAATTGACAGAAAACAGGGAAGAACAAACCTCGATTGCATCAAAAAAGGACCTGAACTTTTGCAATCTTCAAGACTAACATTAAATATATACATAAGTTTCTATAAACACACTATAAATTTAAGTCTTCAGAACTCACAAACCATTTCAGGTTCACGGAGGGACAGTGGATGAAAATGGAAGAGTTACAAACTACGGAATGATGATGGGGAAGCATTCACAAGGTGGAACAACACAGTTGCTTGAATATTTAAGGTGAGGATTAGAATTGAGAACACCTGCACATTTGCTTATGGCTTAGGCATCAGATGGTAGTACTCATCATTTGCCTTTTTGTTTAGTTAGTTTCATATACAAAAATTATATCATGAGATGGAAATCAGTGAGGCAATTGTAATTTTCAATGCAAATACACACAACTAACATATATTGTTCCTATGGAAATATATGGCAGCAAGAGGTATGTATATATACATTTATAAGATTGCATTTACAAGCATGAATCACAAAAGGTTTTCAGTTGCAAGCAAGCAAGATTGATAATGCAGTACAAATATTGCTGAAGAGGCATAAGAGATTGAAAAACTTGGTAATCATATTTGATTTAACCATAACAAGAAAGTTTCTGTTTTGACTAAATATTTTACAATTTTTGCAGGTTGGTGATTTTAATGTTCCGGGGTTTAGGGTTCATGGTTTAGGCTGGTGATTTTTAATTCCATTGGAATAAGTTAATATTTACCTGGGTTGCTGTGAATATCATACAAACTCTCATTTTTGAACCCAATATCCTATTATTTCAAAGACACACAGCCTGCATATAATAAAAGAATATTATATAATTGAATGAAATGCATAATTGAATGAAAGGCATAATTAGTAATGTAAATTGCACATGTGCTTGGAAATATAGTTTTTTCGATTTTATATAGTAGATAGTAAATATGGAAACAGTTTTTCTTTTTAATGAAAAGGAGAATGCTTTCCTGCCATCTATGTTCTTAAACAAAAACATATGACATTCATAATAAATAGAATGAAAATTCGCTATGTGATGTTTCGTTCTGGGGAGTCCTTACTAGACATTTGGTTCTAATCCTACTGGACATTGGTTACTTTATTTTGTTAAGTTCATGAACTTTTTTTTGGGTGCATGCATCATGGTTTGAAAAGCATTCTTCTTTTCATCAAAATCGACTGCATCATATATAATAGACAGATTAGAAGTCAAGTTGCAGTTTTTTAATCTCATGTTTACAGAATAATATATACATGCAACTTATATTCACTGAACAACCTAATTTGAAAGGCTAACTTACTTTTTGAATGTACTAGATCCCACACCTTTATTAACACGGATGAAGATCTAGCAGCTACTAAAATCTCAGCTGAATCAAAAGCTATAGACTCTACTGGACTTGTGTGGCCAGATAGGGTCTCCATAGTTTACAAAGACAATATAATTTAGTTACACAGGTCCAGTAAAGAATGGAAATGGAAAACAATGGAAAACAAAAAAAAAAAATAAAGAATAAAGGACTGGAAGGAAAAGACAAACTGAAAGTTGAAACAAGGAAAACTGAAAATCAGTTATAAAAAACAACCAAAAAAGAATTCTTTGTGGAGAAAATAAACTTTGAAAATATAGAATGAAAAAAAAATTGTAGAGAAAATGTTAGGACAATCATGTTTGGGACAAAAAAGTTTTTCAAAATGTATAAAAATACTGTGTTTCATCTGTCTGTGAATTTTTAAAATAGAAACACCCAAAATTAACTTAAGGCAGCAGAATACAAATTGCTACTGTAACTTTAAATTTGAACAAAATGCATGGTAAATTGCAAACTAATATCTTAGTATTTATATCAACTGTTGTAAGATAAAAAAGGAAGAAGACAATTGACTTACCCTAAGTTCGAATTTTACAATTTAACCAATAATAAATTATGGAATTGTACATGATTCTCAATAAAAAAAAATGAGCTAAAAACCCTAAATAGCTGTTAAAAATCAATTTAGTACCTTAGTACCTGAGGTGAGATCTGGAGGAAATCGGAAAGGTGATGCGATTGGGTCTAACGGTTAGAAGAGCTTGTCCTAAATGGGGCCCAGTGTTTCGGTGCCGTCGGTGATGATGAGCTTGGGAATGGGGAGAAGGCCGTGCTCGAAGGGCTCACGTCATGGGTGGATGTAAATTGGTGAAGAAGAGGCGGACAACGTCGAGGATTGCGGCTCGGCATCATCGGTCATGGCTTATGGAATTGTTTGATCTCCAGGAGAATGAGGAGTATAAGAAACCTCATAGCAAACTTCAGATCCTTGATAGTGCTGTAGACAGAGAGAGAGAGTGCAGATCGGAAATGTCCAGAAGCCAACCTTCTTCTCAACAAAGCTTATCTTTTTTTTTTTTTTATTTATTAACATACACGTGTTGATTGAGGAGATTAGCAATATATATATAAATATATATATATTTTAAAGACATATATTTATATATAGAAATTAATAAAATATAAATAAATAGTATATATAGTTTATTAGTGAATTAATTACACCTATAGTACATGTATTTACATTGTTAGAGTAATATTTAAAATCTATTTAGATATATATGGTTTATATTTTGTGTATATTTGTGGATTGTAAGATTCGTATTAATATAGTTTAGTTAAATAATTACATAATTGTTTGATATTTTACTGCTTACAAATTGTGTCTTATTTTATTTAATAATAATAATTCTACTATATAATAAAGTCATATATAAGATCTCGGCCAATCAAAATATAACATTGACTCCTTAATACTCACGACTACCATTTAAATTTCAAAGAAAGCAGTTTCCACTTATGCTATCATATGCAATGACGATCAACAAAAATCAAGGTCAAACACTTTCACAAAAAAACCAGTTTTTAACCATGGGTATCTTGATGGTCTTAAAGTCTTAATGGTGAGTAATCTTGATGGTCTTAAAGTCTTAATTTGTGGGGAATCTAGAGATCTTTAAAACAATACTCAAAATATAGTTTACAAAATTGTTTTGTTTATGGAACGCTAATAAATTATATTTTGTCTATTTATTACATCTAAAACCTTATTAGTCCTATATCTTGAATATAACAATCTTTTATATATTGCACCATTACATAACATATTGCACAGTCATTTAGTTTATTACAATAACAATATCTAAAATTAAAATATAATTTATTGACCGTGCATCGCACGGGTACCATGCTAGTATATATATATATATATATATATATATATATATATATATATATATATATATATATCTCGATAAAATGGGAGCATCATGCCTCCATTCACCTAGTATCAAACATGCACTGCATATCGCTTTTTGAATTGAAGAGAGCTTTACTCTCCTATTTTATAAACACATACTATGCTTTTTTCATTTAGGAATTTTATTTGAAAAAATTGTTAAAAAGTGAAATAGGGACTCATCATCTACACTATGCTTTTTCACAATTAAATCAATCACTTTTTTTTTCTTCATCTCCTATTACATTAATAAAATTTCTCTCAATTATGTTATTTCTTAATTATGATTTGTTCTTCCCAAAAAATGATCATTTTCTTTTTAATTTCATTTTACGTGGGTAAAAGAATATAAAACTATCTCAACTTACTAATTATGAAAAGAAAAGTAAAAGTTTCTATGTTAATATGTTTCAAATTGTACTTATACTATTAAGATTTAGAAATACTCTATACTATTAATCTTTTCAAAAAAAAAAAAAAATCTATACTATTAATATACATTGTCAAAACCTAAAAGGAAAAACCAGCTTCTCAGTACGGGTATACTCCACAAAACCAGCTTCGTAACGGCACATACGTAGGCTCTCAAGACGCCTCTTACAACAATCAATATTGTGTTGAAATTCCTTGTTGTAGGTTCTCCCCCATCTCCATATGTCCTCCCCACATACTGCAATTCAATCAAAAACATCAAACCCATTGTCCGACTCCAACTGTTGTCAACAATTTTCCTGCAATGATCCTCGCGAAGTCACATGTTGTCAAAGTAGAATCTTCGATGCCGCACCCCATTCGCGATCACCACCGGTGTAAGTAATAATTATAAGTCATCCTCCCAAATATGCTATGTCGGGTCGGGGTGTGGGGGGCCCTTAGAGTTGGGATTCAGCCTTTGGAAGAATAATTATAAGTGATGGTACAAATAAAAGAATTTTAGGGATGCATGGTAATTAAGTATTCATATATATCACTGATATCATATTAATGTATGGTACTTAGTATGGTGTGGATCATTATATTATTGATTACTAATATATATCTTATGTTATTATACTTATATAATTATATATAATACACACAGAACGCTAGCTAGGATGCATGCATATTATTATCATGCATTATTCAAATTTATACAACTAAGACTATCCTTATCCCTGCAAATATATTTCACTTTCTAAAATAGGTCCTACTTTCACATCATTAAATGAATAAATTTTCTATTATTTATTCTACATCCATACAAATTTCTCTCATTTTAAAAAATGAGTCTCACTTTTAAATTAACACTTTCTCTCTCACTTTGCTGTCCACATAAACCGAAAATCAAAACAAAAAAAATTTCTCTTCCTGCAACATCATTTAGCAAGGCTCACAATTTACAGATTTTTAGGGATGAGGTTAGTCTAACTATTAACTAAGCTAGTGAGTATAAACAACCTAACGAAAAAGTAAGGACGATCTAAATATCTGGTTTGTTCAATTTATCGTTGACGATATTCTCATTATATTCCATCTTTTCAGGGGCGGGCTCTCTTTTTATAACTGACTCTCAACTCACTACTCTTCTCCTCAAAAAAAGAGTTTCTGAGTCGATCTTGCGTTTGTAAATGGCATTTTCATCCGCGGCGAAATGGAGTTTCTGGAGCATGATTTGCCTAGTAGTGGGCTTAATAGCACATCAAGATTTTAAGATTAGTTTTGAGTTCTCCGTTCGTCCTCCTCCGCCGGCCGTTCATAATGTTGAATCCTCCATTCCTTCTCCGCCGGATAATTTTGAGTTCTCCGCTCCTCCTCCTCCGTCGGCCGTTCATAATGTTGAATCCTCCGTTCCTTCTCCGCCGGATAATTTTGAGTTCTCCGCTCCTCCTCCTACGTCGGCCGTTCATAATGTTGAATCCTCCGTTCCTTCTCCGCCAGATGTCGACCTGAGTTTCTTAGAAGATGTGGACATGAGTTTCTTGGAAGATGCCAAGTTTGAGCCTTATTATTATAATCGCAGCATCGATAAGTTCAGGCAGGAAAATGGCAAGTTTGACAAACTCCGCTCTGAAAAACTCAAACTTTGTTTGGTGAGCATCTGATCTGATGTTTTTCTGCTTTATCACTTTCTTGCATGAATCCTAATCCTAATAATTTATATATGTTATATTGATTCGATTCTGTTCTCATGTTCTGTTCTGTAGATTTTTTCAGATCTATTAATTGATAAACCACATCAATATGTTATGATTAATTTTGCATCAGCATTGAAGAAGATTGGCCATGAAATCCAGGTATGCAATTTTTCTGACTTATTTTCCTAATCGTCTCCTTGTAACATACATTATTTATCCCTAATTAATCTAATATTCTAGGTGTTCACACTTGAAGATGGTCCTATGCGTTCTGTGTGGGGAGAAGATTATGGAATTCCTGTCAGAATCATACCACGATCTAATAATCTAAATTGGCTAAAGTATGTCTCTGCCCTGGCTTTGAGTTTTCTAATTGTTTCTTGTTTCCTTGAAGAGAAATATGTGCTAGCTGCGATATTATTATGCATCAAATTGATAAATTAAGTAACAACAATCTGCAGAGTTTATTTTTTTAATGGTTTTATAATGCGTTGTACAGGTTCGATGTTGTGTTTCTGAACTCATTCGATGTTATGTTTCGGAACTTATTGTCAACTATGGCCATCACGTTTAAGTAAGAAACAGTTCGAATACTATTAGCAATAGTTTTAAATGATCTCCTGTATGTTTCTATATATGTTCATTGTGATTGGAGTGGTTAATTTGGTTACAGACTTAGACACGAAGAATCTTTTAAAAGTGTGCCTGTTATATGGACTGTTCGTGAACGTGCACTTGCCATTCGATTGGAAGCATATAGCTCAACTACCAACGTTGATGATTGGAGAAAACTTTTCAAACGTGTCAATGCTGTTGTGTTTCCAAACTACAATCTGCCGGTACGTATTAAGATAATGTAAAGTTGTGTTGGAATTCATTATCTGAGAATGATAATTTTTGTGTGTGTTGGCTATTCCTATTCTTTTCAGATTGCATATTCAAAATTTGATACTGGAAACTACTTTGTGATTCCAGAGCTTCTTACTGAATTACAAAAAGATGAAGAAGATTTTGAAGATGAAGAAGATGGTGTTGACGTTCTGACGAGGGATTTGGCGAGGGAAATGACGTGGGATATATATCGAAAGATAGGGTGCCGCCCAGCACACACCATGATTACCATTGTGGGAAGCCAACAATATCAATACAAAGATCTTCTACGTGATCAAGCTCTTGTTTTACAGGCTCTATTACCAGTTTACAAAGCTAATACTGAAGTTGGGTGTCCAAAATTTATCAAAATAGTTGTTTTTGGTGGACCTTCAATGATAGAGGTAAACAAACAAAATTTTCGCCCTCAACTTTTTCTTTCATTCTATCAGCTAGCTAACTTAATTTTTTCACATTTATTCAATTCTCAATCAGACTGTTGCATTGAAGTTGAAGTATCCAATTGGAGCGGTGAAGCATATGGGTCCAGACGAAGATGCTGATACCATTTTGAGATTGAGTGATTTTGTGATATATGCATCATTCCATGAAGAAGAGCAGGCTTTCCCGTACACTCTCCTAAAAGCAATGCGTTACCAGATCGCCGTTGTAATAGCTCCAGACCTGCCAATTATCAAGAAACATGTATGTGCCTACTAGAACTTTGTTTTTGTGATTCAAAAGAACAAACTGATGATTTTTATTATATTTTGATTTTGCCACTTACCAGGTTGTTGATGGAGTCAGTGCGTTCCTTTTTCCAAAAAATAACGTCAAGGTTTTAACTAAGATGATGATATTTTATATGGAAGAAAATGAAGAAAATGAAGATCGAGTCCAAAATGTTACAGTTGAAGGAAGTTTTATAGCCGAGGACCATATGATGTCAAAGAGTATCGAAGGGTATGGTTTATTATTGGAAAATTTATTATTGGAAAACATTATCAAGATTCCAACCGTTGCAGCAAAGTCTCCCCCTTTCCCTACTCCCCGTCCCTATCACGGTTTTAGTTTCGTGTAGGACTCGAAGCTCATAGGATTTGTAGGACCTATCTTTTTTTTTTTTAAAAAAAAAGTTGAGAAACAATTCAACCATACTAAGGCGATTCCCATGTATGTGGTGAACAACATTATTATGGATAAGCTCTTAAGGCCCGCATGGGTAGCTCAACTGGTCATAGAGGTGAAACTCTCAAAGTGAGGGGGGCTTCTTGTGCGCAGTGAGCACCGATCTAGCCTCTATGGTTTATGTTCAGTTGAGTCACCATGATTTACATCCTCCCAAATGCTCTGTCGGGCCGGGTTGGGGTTCAGCCTTATTGGAAGAATGGATAAGCTCTTAAGGGCAAAAGATGTCAAGGATGAGAAATGGAAGCCGATAACTGTCTTCCGAAAGAGCAATTGTTGTATATAAGACGTGATGATTTTCCTAGCTTCAATTCTTAATGAATGATTGATTGATTGATAGCCTCTCATAAATAATGGTGTTTTTGTGCTGTGGATTGTTTTGGTTTGATGATTTTATTTTGAATTTGTTTGCATTACTTTAGCTTGGAGAGGTTGTTTTGGCTTTGGTTTTATTTTGTTGAATGAATGGCAGCAATATCTGCTGGTAAGTTTGTTGCAGGATGTCTAATGGTGTTATAAGGAGGGGGTTTTTCGCAAATTATGCCGTGGAAATGTGTTCAACGTGCTTTGTGAACACGTTTCAAGACGGCGTCGTTTTTATAGAAAAAAAAATGTTTAGTTGATGTGCTATTAACGGTGTTTTGCATTCTATGTTCAGATTATGAATTTACATTTATTATGAATTTTCTGTTATGAGATTATGAATTTACAGTTATGTAATTATGAATTTTCTGTAAATTCATAATCTCCTAACAGAAAATTCATAATTCATAACAGAAAATTCGAGAAAATTTCAATTTTGGTCACACGCTTTGTTAATTTCAGCACTGAACTTTCAAAAGTGTCAATTTAGTACCTTGAGTATGTAATTTTTATCAATTTTGGTCACTCCGACCAAATTGCCGGTCAAATTTGGTCGAAAATTTTTAATCCAACATTTAGTCTAAAATCTGAGGGGCAAAATGGTCTTTTCCATCATTTCTCCTAATTTGTGTTGACCCGGTTCAGAATGGAGATGGGGATTGGGAACTCAGATGGGGGCAAAATTGGTGGCGTCCTAGACCGACGGGATAATCCCAACCGCAAGACGCCTCTGCATTTGGTTGTTCGCCTCAACGATACTTTCACTGTCCGAACACTTGCCAATGGCGGAGCAGACATTTCTCTCCAGAACGCTGCTGGTTGGAACCCTCTCTAGGAGGCCATTGTGCGGAGGTGCTCGGACATTGTCGCGACGCTCGTGCAGCACCACCACCTCGTCGCCTCGTTCAAGTGGCGCCACCGTCTCCCCCGTCTAGTTTTCGCCCTCCGGAGAATGCGCAACTTCTATATGGAGATTTCCTTTCATTTCGAGAGCTCAATTGTTCCATTCGTTGGCAAAATCGCCCCCTTCGGATACATACACGATCTAGAAACGCGACGTCAATCTCAGAGCGGACACATCCGTAGCGGGCTATGACGGTTTGAAAATTCAGCGTGCTAATTAGAGCTTCCTCTTTTTCGGCGAGGGCGACAACAATTTTGACATTCCTGCCGGTTCACTTCTAGTTCTCAACCACGATGACCGGAAAATTTTCAGTGCATTTGAAAATGCTGAAAGTCCTTTAACCGACAGTGATGTTGCCAATTTTTTTTAGCCAAACGAGCGTATATCGTCCAGGAATGGACGTGACGAAAGCAACTCTCGTCGGCCGTACGAATTGGAGAGGTCAAGAGAAGACGGAGAGCGTTGGAGAGTGGAAATCTATAGTTTACGAGGTTCACAATGTGACTTTCAGCTTTCGATCACGGAAAGCCGCCAGCGGTGAAGCCGGGAGTGAGCAAATATTACCATTAGACTTGGAAATTGAGGAAGATGCCGACGAAGGATTTCTAGTTGCCGAGAATCCGCGATTCAGCGTCTCTGTTGACTCAGCCAATCGACAGAGATGCCACAGTAGCTTTGTTTGGGAGGACAAAGAGTTGATTAGTGTCTCAAGAAAAAGTGTAGACATAATTCCAGAACTGCGAAGAAGATCGACGGCGATACCGGTTGCGCCGCCTTCGCAAACGAAGGAGAAGGAATTTGTGAAAAAACTAAAACCTGTCAATTTGGTTAACTGAGCATTTTCCGTTAAAGACTGAGGAGTTGATGCCGTTACTGGACATTTTAGCCAACAAAGTGAAGGCCATTAGACAGATGAGAGAGCTGGTGACGACAAAGTTTCCTCCGGGGACATTTCCGGTCAAGGTAATGGTCAAATCTGTTATTTTGAGTTCTCCATCTCCATTCTGAACCAGGTCAACACAAATTAGGTGAAAGGATAGAAAAGACCATTTTGCTCCTCAAATTTTAGACTAAATGTTGGATTAAATTTTTCCGGTCAAATTTGGCTGGCAATTTGGCCGGAGTGACCAAAATTGACATAAATTACATACTCAAGGTACTAAATTGACACTTTTAAAAGTTAGATGCTGAAATTAATAAAGCCCCTATAGTCGTGTGACCAAAATTGAAAATTGCTCCAGAAAATTCATAATCTCATAAAAGACAAACATTTATTAAATTATGAATTTTTTGTTATGAGATTATGAATTTACAGTTATGTAATTATGAATTTTCTGTAAATTCATAATCTCATAACAAAAAATTCATAGTCTCATAACAGAAAATTCATAATTTCATAAAAAAAAATTATAATTTCATAACTGCACATTCATAAGTTCATGCCTACACATTCATAATTTATGAGTGTTGAAGAAGCTTGCGCGAAGAGGCCAGAAGTGAAACAGCGAAATGTGAAAATGAAAAAGAAAAGTCGCGCAATTAATTAAAAAAAAAAATTGGTGGAAGATAACGGTGCCACTTACGGGCACCGTTACCGTTTGGGATCGTGTTCACCATGAATGGTGAACACGGTTCCATGGCATAACGATTGGGGTGTTTTGGTATGCTGATGGGATTCGAACCCAGGATCTAAATAAATAAATTTACCATTTGGGACCGTGTTCACCATGAATGGTGAACACGGTTCCATGACATAACGATTGGGGTGTTTTGGTATGGTGATGGGATTCGAACCCGGGATCTAAATAAATAAATTTAGGAGCTGGCTATAGTGGTCCGAGATTACCGATCCAAGTAAATCCACTGTACTTATTATCAATTGTTATGTCATGGACCGATCGTTTGAATTTTTAAAAAATTGCTTACTTCACCAGGCTTGAACCCAATACCTCCATACCCTAGTGAATTTTTACAATTTTAGATCTCAATATATAAAATTACAGAACAAAATTCCTAGTGAATTTTTACAATTTTAGATCTCAATATACAAAATTACAGAACTCAATATTCACAATTGTTGAACTCTATATTCACAATTAAAGAACTCTATATTCAACAGTATAACACAATTTTAAATCTATATTCACGATTCTTGAACTCTATATTCAAAAAATATCATTAGCCGAGGAAACGGTATCACTTACGACATTGTTATTCCAAATGCCCATTTTGAATCTAGGTCCAACAAAGTGGACCCGGATTCACAGCATAATTATCCACTTATTATTCACAAATTATTCTGTGGACCTGAGTCAACTTATTAACACAGTGACCTAGTGTAAGTGTGTATCAGGTTTTTAAGAATATAAATTTTAAAATCTGTTTCTTCTCATTTTTCATGAAAAACACGTTTGTTTTGCCACCCTGAAAGAAGCAAAACATTCCTCCTTATACATTAAAAAAAAAAAAAAAAAAAAAAGCAATAATAACACTTGATAATATTTTATTTAGTGTAAGAATCCTCTGAACCTAAATCTGAAAAGGAAAGGAATCCATATGAAATCAGACAACTACAACTAGCAGCAGAAATCACATCCATTTGTCTTCCTCACCAAACATCTTTTCATCATTGTCATACGACTCCCAATCATCACCACTATAGATATCATCTTCAACAAACGGATCCCTGCCATCTGACCACTCGTATCGATCCAAATCTTCTCCTTTGCAAGATACATGGCTGCCAGTTTCTTCTTCAGAAGAAGAAGAAGATTCGCTCTCAACTTCTGACCCGTCATCTGATGCTATAGTTTCTACTTCATCATCATCCGGATAATCATTCCGGGGGTTGTTTTCATCTGAGATACAAATAGTTGACAATATCAAACCATGTATGAGCGGTGGCAGCATAATAATTTTAAAAAAGAAGTAAGACTAGCGGGTACCATTAGAATCATAAGATTCATAGTCTGAATCATCAGGGCCATCATAGAACTCATCATCGTCATCCACTTGAACCCTGTAAAATCAAAGGTGCTATTGTTACAAGAATATGACACAAACCAAGATTAGGATAAGCATACACTGCTATGGCTCCTTACAAAGGAAAATGGTTTGCAGTTGATTCCTCCATGGTCTCAACATCATTCTTAACGGCATAGAAGTCGTAGACAAAACCATCTGAAGATGCTGCACAAAGATTAACATTTTCAGTAAATAATGTTGCACAACAATTTATGCAACCTATAAAAACACTTATTAAAAACAATAGGTGTGGACATTGAAGAACCATCCAACATACCCCGAACCAGAACCTAAAATTAATTAATTAAACTAAAATGACTAAGTTCTATCCTCATGCCATTTCATCTCTTTTATATAAATAACTGGATACCAGAAAAGACTAGAGAATTTCAAGGTATTTAAAAGCCCCAATGAGCAACAAAATTGCAACTTTCATTGCCCCAATAGAGAAAATAGGGCAGAACCTCGTTTGAAGACATAGTCATGTATGTCAGACTCAATTTCTTCAGCAGCACTTGGCATGACTTCTCTTAAGAGTGGCAAATACTGAGACATCATCCTGTGATCTTCCAACTCCGAATCTCTACAGACACACAATAGAAGTGGTTATTTTCCCTGGCACAAGAAAAAAGAAAACAGAAAAAGCGATGATAGAAACCAATAATAAAGTTGGGCAACAAAACGTTAAAACGTACTCCTCTTGTACATCATGGCTTTTTTCCTC